TATATATATATATTTATCCTAAAGAATTATATATATATATATATATATATTTTATCTACCCTATATATATATATATATATATATATATATATTTATCTACCTGATATATATATATATATATATATATATATATATATATATATCATCTTATTTAGCTGTAAATTTGATAAACTAACAAAGCATGTGTGCTTGTGTTTGTGTGCATATGTTTGTATGTGTGTGCGTGCGTGTGCGTGTATATCTAGATATTTATATGCATATGTGTACATGTGTGTGCTTATACATTTGAATATAAGCACATGTAAAAGAAGGGAATAACTGATAAAAATTTAATTATAAAACTAACCTTTTAAAATTAATACCCGAAAAGTACTTAAGATACCCCTAAATTAGATAAGAAAACGAAATAATGTCTTAGTGAAGACGATTATAAATTTTTGATTTATTATTTAAGCATTAAAATGAATTATATCAAAAAATAAAAACAATAAATAGTGATATACGATTTGCAAAACTAAAGAAAAATCTAGAACGTCCAAAAGTGAACAACACGTCTATATAATCCGAAGTCAAATGGTGACAGTTGAAAAAAAAGAGGAAGTTGAGGAAAAAGAGACAAAGAGAGAATAGATTAAGGAATGAGTGTAAAGTGAAAAAAAAAACAAAGAAAAAGTGAAGAAAAGGGTAAAATGATCACGACTTCCTACACGTACACACATCCGCGCACCCAGGCGAGTAGGCGCATGCGCGTGAACGCACACAGACGCACGTATACATTATGCAAAAAAAGTTACACTACTGATAAGTGCATATAAAAATGAAAATTCGAGAAGTATAAGCAGTCAATTGCTGATAATCCCTGAGAAGTGTTTGGCGTAATTCCCGTCGAGTCCCTCGATAAAACTCTGGAGTCGGGATACTGAAGGTAATCAGCTAAGGGACAAACATATTACTTATATTAATTCTCAACTCCATACTATCCCTCTCTTGTATCTATCTATCTATCTATTTCTCTTTGGCTTCTTCATCTCTTCTCTCTAAAATATATATATATATATATATATATATATATAGATGAGAGAGAAGAGAGAGAGATTTCTGATTTCCCACACTATTACTCACAAATGTTATATGTCAAGTTTAATACTGCCCGTCAAAAGTGTAAATTTTAAATTCATTTTCATTTCACCTTTTGAAAGTGAAGTCTGAAGATCCAGAGAAAATAAAATTATCTGGTGAAATAAATTATAACAAATAGAGCCTTAAAAGTGGTCTGTTTTTTTTTAAATTAAATTATTCGCTCTGACTTAACATTGAGCTCTCAAGATTTCATCCTCCTCAGGATTATCCATAGGGATTACCATGATTTTCGTTACTTATATATATATATATATATATATATATATATATATATATATATAATAGTTAAAATTGATGAGAAAACCATATTAAATTTTTTAAATAGATTAGAAAAGCATCTTATGTTATTTCGAGTTAGAAACTATTCCCTTCAAGTTATCAAACATAAGCTTATATTTCCGATTATATATATATATATATATATATATATATATATATATATATATATATACCTTTTTTAATCGTTTCACACCAAATGAGGTGATAATGCCACTAACATAAAAGGGATTACATGAAATAAAATAGAATGATAAGATTTTAGTAAGGAGGAGTGAAGAAAGGACAATAAAAGAACATGACTGAGGAAGACACAAATGACAACTGACGTTACATTTAAATTTTGCTAGCAGAGGAGGAAGATATCGTTAGGGTGTCCCACAGATTAGAAATGCGAGAAGAGAAACTGTTATAATGGAAGAGACGGTTGTATCTAGCGAGTTCAACAGTAAGACGATGAGACCTAATTGACAATCTAGTACCACACTTCAATTCATGTAGTTGAGGCATTAGGGAAAACACAAGATTTCCAATAAAAATATTCGTAGAAAAGTCAGAGAGAAGTTACGTTACGTCGGTTTAGAAATTGACTGAAGACAAATTGCTAGGAACGGGTCGATTATATTAGACCAGATATGGCAGCAGTATTCAATGCAGGGACGAATGGTAAATTTATAATTATGTAAGATGGATACTGTCATACCTGAACGTACCTATTTTATTAATAATAGACTCTCCCACACATAATAAGTAGTAGTAGTAGTAGCGGTCGCCAAATGTGTTGTAAAGTGAACGAAAAATTCTCTTTTCCCGTGTGAGAAACGAATCCCTCGTCGCCAATGTGTTGTAGAGTAGTTTTCACAGTGGAGGCTTGTATTTCACTAAGTCGTCCTAAATTAGGTTCGACGTAAAAAACGCTAGGAACTTGAAATAAGAGTTAATGACGCAGTAAATCTAGTTGTGATGGTTGGTACTTCAATGTCCGACATCAACTGACTCGCTCAACACCACTGAGCTCAAATGGCGACCGCTACTACTACTACTACTACTACTTATTATTATCTGTGGGAGAGTCTATTGCAATAGAATAGGTATTATGGTATAAAAGATTCTGAGGAGAAAAATTTTGTGAACCAAATTTAGTTGCTGGAGACGTGGAAAGTGATTCGGTATTACTCCACTTCATGTAATTGGAAATTGTGAGCCGAAGATGGCGCAAAGTGTTTCTCTCATGGAGTTTAGTATCAGACATGTTTATCACGGGCAGAAAAGATTCTCTGTGGTGAGTAAATGAAAGCAGATTCTATCTATCTCAGTCTGTTCATCTCTTTCTCTCTCTCTTTGACTCTTTCTCTCTGTCTTTCTCTCTATCTCTCTCTCTATATATACATATAAAATTTTTCATATCTATTTATTTCAGTCTGTTCATATCTCTCTATATATATATCTATCCAACTATTTATCTCCCTCTCCTTTTCCGTCTCTATTATCTCTCTCTCTGCTCTCTCTCTCTCTATATATATATATATATATATATATATATAAAATCATATCTATTTATCTCAGTCTGTTCATATCTATCTATCTATCTATCTATTTAGTTTAGTCACTATCAAACCCAGTCTGCTAATCTATCTATCTATCTATCTATCTATCTATCTATCTATCTATCTATCCCAGTCTCCTCTTCTATCTATCTATCTATCTATCTATCTATCTATCTATCTATCTATCTATCCCAGTTTCCTCATGTAGTCATCTATCTATCTATCTATCTATCTATCTATCTATCTATCTATCTATCTATCTATCCCAGTTTCCTCAAAATGTCTATATATCGTCATCTATCTATCTATCTATCTATCATCTATCTATCTATCCCAGTCTCCCAATTCTTCTATCTATCTATCTATCTATCTATCTATCTATCTATCTATCTATCCCAGTCTCCTCTATCTATCTATCTATCTATCTATCTATCTATCTATCCCAGTTTCCTCATGTAGTCATCTATATATCGCAGTCTATCTATCTATCTATCTATCTATCTATCTATCTATCTATCTATCCCAGTCTCCTCTTCTATCTATCTATCTATCTATCTATCTATCTATGTTTAGTTCTGTTTATTTATCTATTGCCTTTGAATCCATGTAACGTTTCTTATTCGTTTATCAGTGAAGATAAACCAATAATTCAAGAACCTAATGGTGAAAAATCATTTATTTTTCATAACATGTCTTTCTTCTTATGTAATCACATCCGATGCCAATTAAATTAATTCAGAATTTAATATTTATTTCACAGTTCGAACATTATGGAATAACATTTCAGATCAATCTTATGAATCAATCTACCATTTATTCACCCACTTTATCTAATCTATAATCTAATTTATAGATTATAGATGATAGGTAATCTAATCTATAATCTAATCTCTATGTAAGCGGTTCAGGATGAGAAACAGGAGAGCAGAGTTCGAATTCAAGACATGTACAAATACCCAATTGGGGAATGTAGAAATCAATTTCCTTCTCCACCTAGAGGTTAAATAGTAGGTTATTGTTATTCCCAAGAATATTTTAATGCAATATTCATTCGCAACAAGAAAAAATATTCTTAAATCCAAAATATGTTTAGGCTTTAAATAATGCACAAATGGTTGATAAACCGTAAAAAACCCCAAAAAAACAATCGTATCGATCTATGAAAAAATTCTTGGACAGGCCAATAAAGGATTCTCCCAAAATTCTGATATTTGGTCATTCTGGACAATCTGATACTCTGGGATCAAATAGAAGGAAAAAGAGACAAGGGAAAACAACGCATGACATACCTAGCGGGCTTAGGTAAGTGGATTACAGAACGTAGTCTGGAGAAAGTGGCAGAGGGCTTGTTGAGAGATGCAAGGGATAGAGGATTGGGTGGAGAGCCATGATCGTCTACGTCCTGAAAGGATACGGCACATAGAAAGAAAAAAAATGTCAGATTTTGGGAAGCGAGTCGGTCCGAAAACTTTTCAGCATCCAAAAAGCAATAGGTCTCACCGTAAATATACATGCAGGCGAATTAAAGTTGATAAGATCAATTCGTTATCGATCCCAATAGTGTGTTCCTTTTTTTTTAAATTTTAAATATCCCTCTTTTCCCATCTTTGTATCCCTATGGAACTTTCGAAACTGATATCACTCTCTCTCTCTCTCTCTCTCTCTCTCTCGACCACCACCCGCATTCATCTCCCACCCGTCCATTGATTTTACCTCGTATCCTCTCTGACCTCTACGAATGTGTTCCTCTCAACGAAACCCAACCCCTATCCTTTACTGTTAGCCTTAAAACGAAGGCAATGAGTAGCTTTGTCGACTAGTTTTTCAGTCTAATGATGGACTGCCGATATCATACATTGCGATTTCTTCCGTACTTGCAATCTGGCCCCGATTTGAATACAGCCTTTAATAAATCAGTATCGTTGGTGAATGGGCAGCGAGTAGAGGCGAGGCAGGCAAGGGCCATCGACCCTCTCTATCCACTTATTTAGGCCTTCATTTCGATGATCCGCTGTCAAAGGACCCCTGTCATAGACACATCGAAAGGAGTCATTTCGCCTCGTTACACTAACATGCCGCACACTAATAACAGGAGAACGCACTTGTTTGCGTCTAACTTTACAACATTTGATGTCTCACCATTTTTATTTTCTTTCTTTATCTTTTTCTTGTCCCTTTTTTTTATTATTATTCATTGATCTTTTCTCTCTTTGTAATTTCTAGTCTCATTTCTTTCTTTTTCTTTCTCGTTATTCTTCCTTTTATATTTTTTTCTCTTTTTAATTTTTTTCATTCGTTACGTTGCTCTTTCCTTTAATTTGTTCCCAATTTTTTTTTTCTTTTACATTCTTTCCTAACACATGAGCTTTCTATTATAGTCTTTTTCCATATTCAATTATCTAGCCATTGTGTTTATTTTCTCTTTCTGTTTTAGCCTCTTTTTTCTTTCTTTCTTCCTTTCTTTCTTTCTTTCATTTATTTGGGCTTTTTATTTCTTCTGCTGTGTGCTTCCTTTCTTTCTTTCTTTCTTTCTTTCTTTTGATTAAGGTTTTATTTTTTCTCCTGTGTGCTTTCTTTCTTTCTTTCTTTCTTTCTTTCTTTCTTTCTTTTGATTAAGGTTTTATTTTTCTCCTGTATGTTCTTTCTTTCTTTCTTTCTTTCTTTCTTTCTTTCTTTCTCTTGCCACCTTGCTATCATCTTTCTTTCTTTCTTTCTTTCTTTTCTTTCTTTCTTTCTTTTTTTTTGATTAAGGCTTTTTTTTTCCCTGTGTTCTTTGTTTCTTTTTTTTTTTTTCTTTCTTTCTTTCTTTTTTTTTCATTTTTATTTGGGCTTTTTATTTCTTCTGCTGTGTGCTTCCTTTCTTTCTTTCTTTCTTTCTTTCTTTTGATTAAGGTTTTATTTTTTCTCCTGTGTGCTTTCTTTCTTTCTTTCTTTCTTTCTTTCTTTCTTTCTTTCTTTCTTTTGTTTGAGGTTTTATTTTTTTCTCCTGTGTGTTTTTATCCTGTCTTTCATTTTTTCTTTCTTTTTTCTTTCTTCCTTTCCCTATATATTTTCTTTCTCTCCTGTGTACTCTTCTTTCTTTCTTTTTGTCTTTCTTTATTCTTTCTTTCTTTCTTTCTTTCTTTCTTTCTTTCTTTCTTTCTTTCTTTTCTATTAATGTTTCTTTCTCATCATCATTGTATTATTACTTAATATTTTATATCTTCTTTCATTTCTTTTAATTTTGTTTTTTCTTTCATTTTTCCCTTTTTCCCTTTACCTTCTTTTCATTAGCCTCCATTTTGCTTCTTGGGATTCAAGCTTGCCTGAAATCAACAACGTATATAATATCTACCAGCGCACCTGAAATTATATGTATATCTCCTACATATAACCCCCCACACATACACACACACGCATATATATATATAATTATGCATGACCCACAGTTGCAGTGTGCGCTGTGCCCGATACATATAAAGCTAAAACAAAAATAAAACGATGAGCAAAAAGAGAAGAGAAAAAAATGCAGTGCATTTTAATGGCGTATGAAAGAGCATTGTTTGAAAGAATTGCTAAGTATCAACGCCTTTCTACAAAGAGACGACTTCGCTTTCCTGATTAATTACAACTGAATGTTTCCAGGCGAAGTTTCTGTTCATTGCTTTTATTTATAAGTAATTATAGATTTCTATAAAGATATATTTCATCGGTGGATTTTCACTTGTGTGTGGCCGTCTAGCGACTATTATTATCGTACTACAACCCTCGCTTAATTAATATGAGTTCACTATGTATTATATATATATATATATATATATATATATATATATATATATATATATATATATATATATATATATATATATATATATATATATATATATATATCTAATTTAATAAATTCTAATTTCGAGCTAATTTTGGTATTTCATTTTCATGTTATAATGTTCGCTTTTTGATTAATGAATCATGTGGATTATCAAAAGAAAGTGTTTATGTTGAAAAGCATTTATTACGAAAAAATAAAGGATTTTTCGTACACACACACACACACACACACACACACACACACACACACACACACACATATATATATATATATATATATATATATATAATTATGCGTTTTACCAGTTTATGACTTGAATTTATAATTCCTGGAGGATGTAAATCCAGGGAGAGCTCAATGTAAATTACAGAGCATAATAATGATAATAAGAAGACGGAGACTTTAATTATCCATTTTGTTTATAATTTTTATTTCGTGGACACCGAGATGTTCAGCTCATCAGAACGAAATCTCCTCCGCAAATGGAGAAAATAATAAATGAGATATATTAGATTAGTAGTGGGGGGGAAGGTGAGAAATAGGTATATATATAAATATATATATACACACACACACACACACACACACACACATATATATATATATATATATATGTGTGTGTGTGTATATATATATATATAGGAGAATATATATTATTTACATTATTCGGACTATTGTCCTCATCTTTGTCGCCATATAAATAATAAGGAGTGCCAGAGAAAAGCAAATGATAACACAATAGTTGCAATATGAGGTCTGGTAAAAACATGAATTGATAACAGCAAAATTGCAATATGAGCACTGGTAAAAATGGTTGCCGAGGACATTAGGTTTATAATACCCAGAAATTCATACCCAGATGTCCTCAAGGACACATGGCACGGTGGATAACGGCGTTGGTTAGATCCAGTGACCCGGTTAAGGCAGTGGAGAACTTTCAGAGGGAAATTAACAGGAAATAACTGATAACCATCCATCATACTAGAACAGTCTACCCCAGTGAGCGAAATAAAGGGTTCAGTTCGACATTCCAACGGCCGAAACGTTGTGATAAATATGGCGACAAAGATGAGTCCGAATAATATAAATAATATACATAAAACCTCATCTCAAGAAAAATATAGACAGACTCAGAAGAATATATATATATATATATATATATATATATATATATATATAGTAAAAGTAAAATCTATCTATATATAGTAATTTAGATAGATGGATATCGTTTTTTTCTTACACACACACACACACACACACACACATATATATAACCTCAACGATATCTATCTATCTATCTATCTATTTATATATATATATATATATATATATATATATATATATATATATATATAGTAAAAGTAAAATCTATGTATATATAGTAATTTAGATAGATGGATATCGTGAAGTTACACACACACACGCACGCGCACACACACACACACACACATATATATATATATATATATATATATATATATAACTTCACGATATCTATCTATTTATATATATATATATATATATATATATATATATATAGTAAAAGTAAAATCTATCTACATATAGTAATTTAGATAGATGGATATCGTGACACACACACACACACACACCTATATATATATATATATAACTATATATCTATCTATCTATCTATCTATATATATATATATATATATATATATATATATATATATATATATATATATATATATATTTATATTGAACGGTGGAGTATCCGAGTTCGAATTCTGGTCGAATTTATTGCATTTGCTTACGTCCCTGCCTAGCGATGGGTAAATAGCAGAAAAAATCTTTGTGGCTCATAAGCTGTGATCCATATATTAGCCTGTGGCCCACCTTAAATTTGTCATGGCCCATAGGTTGGGAAACGCTGCCTCAGATCAACCATTAGGATGTCGTGGCAATAGAGATTCGAATCCTGCACGTGCATCCAAATAATGTCAAAGAACTGCAGCGTATCATGAGAAAAATATGGTGCCAAATTTCATGCTTCAAGATCATCATAGGATCCATGTCGAAACGAACTGGGGTGGTTATAAGGGCAAAAGATCTCACCCGATACTAAAAGCGTATGCCTCATGAAGTGACCGGTGGGGGTTCAATCGAATCTAACGGAAATATTTTAGTTTTGATTCGACTCTATGAAAGCTACGACTTTTCTTCATGCCACGTCATGATTCTATTGTTATTCCCTCTATTTATCGTTTAGCCCAAATAATCTCTATTTTCGGATTAATTTATCTTTTACATAAACTTTTACATTCAAAATAGATCCCTACTTCGCCGTCATCAACAAATTCTGGGTATGACGATAAACTACATCCGGCAGCAAGGCTTCTGGTTAGAAAATTGGAGATTTTTAGGAGCGTGGAAGCAACTCTTAGTGGCTGTTGTTCCCAGGTTGACCGGTGCAAGACTTCTATTTTTAGAACACTTTTAACACACCATCTCCTCTGCTAAATAGTAACCGCCACAAATCGCTCTAACTCTACACTGTAAAATTACTATGTAGCAGCTACGTACAGAATTTCAGCCACCGAAAACACATCCTCGATAATGGCTAGAGAAGTAGCCGAAAGCGCTCTTTGAACGATTATAACTATGGACAATTCCTATAGTCTTTAAGTCCTGAGAAACGGAAAAATGTAAATTGCTGGAAAAACCTAATAAAAGATTAATAAAATTAATTGTCGGTCATTTTCAATTAAGACATATATATATATATATATATATATATATATATATATATATATATATATATATATATATATATATATATATATATATATATATATATATATATACCTACTAGCTTTTGTGACAAACCTACCTTACTTTCCCTGACGATCCGTTTAGGTGAAACCTAGGTAGGGTTGTCTGGCTCACTAGGTTTATCTAGGTCTGCTCTACGGTGGTATTGAGCTCTTTTTGTTAGTTAGTTGTTTACTCGTATCGGGGATTTTTCTTTGGGCTTCAGACCTGCATCTGTGCGATTTTTTGTCGACTGAAGTTCATGTTTGTAGCTCTTTCTTTTTTTTAAAAACCTTTTTTCCCTCGAGATTGATTTGATTATTAGCAAATCAAAAATTCGAGGGTTTTTCAAAAATGGTTCTAGTTATCTATATATTATATATATATATATATATATATATATATATATATATATATATATATATATATATTTCATGGGTAGCAAACAAATGTACATACACGCACAAATACTTAATACGTACGTAAATATATTTATTCTTAACGTGTTATAAATACAGTGTTGAATGTTATGAAACAAAGCTATAAGTATATATTAGTGAATCCATATAATATCTAACGTTGATAAAACTACTCGGAGTTTCCTGCAGTTAATGCAATCTTCAGGTGGGTATTCTGACCATTATCTGTCGCATTCTCATGATGGTGATTCAAAATGGGGTGTACAAACTTGTCTATTTAAAATATAAAATTAAATATTAATAATTTATTTCGTTCAAATTCATAAGTTTGAAAGACGGGGAATAAAAATTAATTAAAATAATAATTATTTGAAATTTGAATTTGGATTTGAAATAAACATTATATCAAGGGGGGTAACTCTCGTAAAAAAACTAGTTATATCTATTAACGTAAACTATAATGCAGATTATAAATGTAATATAAAGGTTCAAAAATAAGTAAATAAATAAGCAAATAAATAATAGGTCAGCACTATATATCTCAAATCTACTTATAACGGTGAAATTATATCTACACAAACGTTATAAATTAATCAAATGCAGTAATATTGCATTGTATGTGTGTATAGGTATTTAAGGAAAATAATTGATAATGGGTTCTGAGAATATTAAAATTTGTTGCATATTATATTAATATTCCTAAAATCCATTTTGCAATCACTTTTAATCGAGGTCAATGTTTTTGCGTGAGTAATTGGACTTGTGGATGCATGTAGACATTAATTCGAACCTCGTGTTCAGCAAGTTAGGATGATTTAAGTGCTTTAATATAACAAGCTTCTCCAACAAACATAAGTTACATCTGTTTCCCTTTCCGTTGTTTGGCCTAGACTTTGTGAATTTAAGCGCAGTTCTAGGTTAGCGATAATGTCTCACTAATTCACAGTTGAATTGGCTCGATGTAACCTTAAGTTCTATGCTAACAGTTTCTTTGCTCGCACTTCTCTCTCGTGGAACTTTTTTCCTGCTCTATGCTTTCCAGTCAACGTTGATCTTCAAAAATTCAAATCCAATGTCAATTGTTATTTCTTGTCTTCCTTATTGCTCTTGTATTGCTCTCGTTCCCTAATAATGTTTCTCTTTTTTCTTATTCTTTTAGGCTCAGTAACCGTTGGTGTCTTAGTGGCTTTATTGCTTTACAAGGTGTGATATGACGAAAAGAATGTGTGTGTGTGTCGGATACGATGCAAGTGGAAATTATATTAGTTTTCTATTTGATGCTATATTTAAGTATTTAATTCGAGAAACCAATGGGGTAAGCAGTCTTCCAGAATTTAAATACAAAGAAAGAGATTTCTAAAGATTGGTAAATTACTGGATGTCTGTTTTTCTAAGGGAAATATTTTTTTTCCTGTTTAAAGAAAGGGTTGTTCTGAATCTCCATTTTTTCACCCTTTTTTCTGTGTTTTTAATTATGCGTTAGAAAACGATTAATTTAGTTTCTTCAATCATTTCCTGAGTGAAAAAAGAGAAAATCCCGCTAAAAGGAAAATGCACAAAAAATTTTAAAAAATGAAACAACTTCCTGTTTTTTTATCACGTAGAATTTAAAAAAAAATTATTTCATTTCTATTTTTTTTCTTTCTGTTTGGATGTTTGTTTTTCTTGTTTTCGTCTGATCATTTTTATTTTTTATTTTCTTTCTTTCTTTCTTTCTTTCTTTCTTTCTTTCTTTCTTTCTTTCTTTCGTTTTTTCCGCTTCTTTTTTCGTTCCATTGTTCGATTGCATTTTTTAATCACTCACAATTTCGTTTCGGCTCCGTATCAACTTTCAATCATTTATGACGGTTTTTGGTTTTCGATCTCCGTTTCGTATGGTCCCTTTCTGTCGTCTCCTTTTCTCTTATTTACAGGCTTTCTGTATCTTTCCATTTTCCTAATTCAATTTTTTCTAGCATTCTATTTCCTTTTCACCCACCTCTTCTCAAGTCTTTGTTTCTAGTCTTTATTTTCCCTCGCTGTTTTTTTTGTTACTTTCGTATGAAAGATCATAGTCAGGGGGAGGGTGGCAGAGGAACGAAACTTATTGAGCGCTATACAAGGGATAGGAGGAAGTGGAGAGCCATGATCGTCTACGTCCTGAAAGGTCACAGAACATTAAAAGAAAGTATCTTTTTTTCTTTTTTATCCGTTAGTTTTACCCTTCTTTTTGTTGTTTTGTCTTTTTCACTTTTGATATTCAATGAAGAATACTGTTACGTGGATTTTACAAGCATTATGATTTACATTCGACATTCATTTCTCTTCATTCTCGCTTTCTTTTAATTTCTTTCTTTCAATTTCTTTATTTTTCTCATTTTCCATTTTGTCTTTCTTTCAATTTCAGTTTTTCTTTCTTTTATTCTTTCAATTAATTTTTTTCGTTCAATTTCTTTCTTTCTTTCGTTCAATTTCTTTCTTTCTTTCTTTCTTTCTTTCTTTCTTTCTTTCTTTCAAGTATTCCCTTTTTTCTACGTGTTCTTTTTCTTTCATTAACTTTCTTCCTTTCAATAATTCTACAAATCTGTCATTTTTTCTTATAACTATTACTTTATTTCGTTTCCTTTTCCTTCTAAATTCATTCTTTCATTTCTGCAACTTTTTCTCGTTTTTTTTTTCCATAGTCATGAATATTTACCATTATTATTAAAAATGGCTAAAAATCACATGGTCAGGGAAGTTTTTATTTGTTTCCACTGACCTTGGCTTTAGTCCCTTTATCACCGCCGTAATGTAGCTTCCCTGTGTCTTTTCTATAAAGAAAGAGTGTTCCGATAACTTGGACCGTTTTTAAATGGGAATTATGTTTAACCGTCTAATGATTTTTTTTCTTTTTCTTTCAGATTTAACAACTTACGCCTTTGGCAATTTCCACCATGACAAGATTAACAATCAAACAACGTGCTAAAACCTATTACGAAAATGGACGTTCAAACAGAAATGTGAACTTCCCAGGTCGTATCATCTCTCGAAACAGCGAAGTCAATTGGCCACAACAATCGTGCGACTTGGCGCTTTTATGTTTCTTCCTTTGGGGTCATCTTAAAAGTAAGGTTTATGCCAACAAGCCAACAACAATTCAGCAGCTGAAGGATGAGATAATCAGGCATATTGGTGAGATCGAGGAGCAATTATGCAAAGACGTCATCAAAAATTTTGACCATCGAGTGGAGGTGTACCGTCGAAGACTTGGCGGACATTTGGGCAATATTATTTTTCACACCATGACTTAAATAACATAATCCAATAAAGAAATAAATAAATTTTCACAAATAACAGATTTATTTACTACTATGATCCATTTTCATGAAACACCCTTTATATATAATCCGTCTAATGAAACATCCTTTATATATATATATATATATATATATATATATATATATATATATATATCCTCTTGGGAATTTTTATATATATATATATATATATATATATATATATATATATATATATATATATTTATAAGATCATACAATATATATATATATATATATATATATATATATATATATATATATATTTACAACCCTTAAATTAATTCTTTCAAAGAATATTATATATATAATTATTGACTGTCAGGCATTTGACTTTTCTTTCCACTTTTTATATATATATATATATATATATATATATATTGATTAAATTCAATTATCATTTATAATATATATATATATATATATATATATATATATAAATATATATATATATATATATATATATATATATATATATATATATATATATATATATATATATATATATCACTAAACAGTAATTTTATTGGATACTCGTATTTGAGTATATATTTATTAAACAGTATATTTACTTATTTTCATTTACTGGCCTGAATGTTCGAGAAATCTTCTTACAGAAAAGAAATTCACTCTCTGGCAAGATTCGAACCTGCGTCCCTCCGGTACCAACTGAGAGAATCAATCAGTCAGGCAAGGTCAAAATTGCACTTTTAATCGAAACTTTTCTTGTCATAAATCTCCAAAAAGGTTTCATATCCGGCACAGTTTCGTATCCAAACATAAACAAAACGGATTTTCTAAAGAAACGAATCGATTTTGATTAATCTGACTTATTTTTTTTATCACAGATTAAAATGGATACATAAACAAAAATAGATATGAACAAACTATGGTAGATAGATAGTTATGAACATATTAATATAAATAAATATTTAAATATATAGATAAATACATTCTTGTGCAAATTAATTGAAACAAAACGAATAATTCCCTTATTATTTACTTTTTTCGTATTTTTTTATTTATTTCCTCTAACCATGTCTTCAGTCCCTTTGTTACCGCCGTAGTTACCTCCCCTGTGTCTTTTCTATAAGTACTTCATAGTAATTTTTTGATGAACTCTCCGCTAAAGGTACTTTATTAATTTAAGCGCTGTACTAAATTGTCAATAGGATCGCATCATTTTCCAATTGAATGTGTTAGATGTAACCCTAAGTTCTTTGATAACAGTGTTTTTTCTCGCACTTCTTCTATGTGGAACTCTCTTCCGTTATCTTTCATTCGTCATGTTTGATCTTCAAAAAATTAAATTAAATGCAATCGTTATCGACTGTTTTCTTGATTCCTCCTCTTTTATTGTTCTTGCACCTTTATAATTTTTTTCGTATTATTTCACACTCAGTAACCTCTTCTGTCTTAGTGGCTTTATTGCCTTGCTTGGGGTGAAGTGATTAAGAAAATAAGAAGGTAGCTAAAGTCTACTTGCGTGTATGATCTGCGTTCGTAAAATGTTCATTTTTGACTGGGCTTTAATAGAGATCACAGACATCTAATGAAATTACACAACTACTTCGACCATAAGGCTATCCACGAAACATTATCTTTAACAATATGACTATTGATAGTATTCGTAGAACTACTGAGAGTACTGTTCCTAGGTTTAAATTCGTTGTAATATTTTATCGTTTTTTAATTTTTTTATTTTCTGCATTCAACTATTAAGAAACTTCAACATCAGAATGGAAATAACTCGACATTTTCCGCTTCCTTTTCTTTCATACGGTTAATTTCTTCATTTTTTTTTGTCCAACATCCTATCTCTTTATTTGGAATGAAATAAAGTACCCCCACAACAACAAAAACAACAAACACACGAACACGCATAAAAAAATCTATTTATTTCGTCTCGATTTGTTATTGTTCTTTCTTCAGAAAGGAATGCCAAAAAAAAAAAAATAAATAAAATAAAAAAATAAAAAGTATAAATATAATATAACATCAAAGCCGAAAATATATATTTTTTTTAAATCGTAGAAGTAAGAATGTGGTCGGGATAGAAAGGGTTTCATTGTTTGTCGGGTGAAAGAAGGTTAGGGTTTTGGTAAGGGATAGGGAAAAAAAACAAAAAATACTGAAAGAATAAAAGAGAGAGAGAGAAAAAAAAAAACCACGACAAAAGATTGTGTATGGCGCATAAAAAAGGAAAGAACGTGCGCCGAATCCACTATTAAACAAAAAAGAAATCAAACGTAATTTATCCACGGACGTCAAGGTATGCATTTGTATACGTACGCATGCGCGTTTGTGCTTCTATTTGAAAGAGTCCCTAAAATATTCAAATACAATGATGGAAGTTATATAATGAGTGAAAGATAGAAAATTCATACACGTGCCAGAGCATAAAGGTCATGTATATACATATATTTTATGTACAATCATACATGCCGACACTATCTATCTATCTATCTATCTATCTATCTATCTATGTTTCTGTATGCACGTGCTCGTGTGTTCGCGCAAATGCAGAAGGACGATTTTATATTGTAATATAGATTCTTCCATTTTATGACATCCGCACTAGGATCCACTTTTACTGTAGTCATTCTATTCTATATATATATATATATATATATATATATATATATATATATATATATATATATATATTTTCCGTCTATATTTGGTTTGCAGGTCTGAAAGATTGAAGGCTATTTTTTATAGCTTTCATGAAATAAAGATTATTACCTATGCTTTTTAAGTGTTTGATATTCATTAATCTCTCTCTCTCTTTTCTCTCTCTCTCTCTCTCTCTCTATATATATATATATATATATATATCACATTCTGTCTATCTACCTATCTATCGTATTCTATCTATCTATCTATCTATCTATCTATCTATCTATCTATCTATCTATCTATCTATCCCAAACTCATCTTATCTTATATATATATGTGTTTGTGTGTGTGTGTTTCCCTTTATATTTGGTTTGCAGATCTGAAAGATTAAAAAACTATTTTATAGCTTTTCATGAAATAAAGATTATTACCTATGGTATTTTTAAGTATTTGATATTCATTAATATATATATATATATATATATATATATATATATATATATATATATATATATATTTATATTTATATGTTATAGGACCTTACCCATAATAACATAATGGACTATTCCATACGTAATAAATACTGCGCCTCAAGAGGAAGCAGGAAGTTCAGTCCGAAGTCGGACGACCGGCTGATCGGTTGAACTCTCTGCCTTCGGGCGGGGAGGAACCCGAACGAGGCTACGCCGAAGGACGGAGTCTCTTTCGGGGAGGTTAACCGACCCTGAACCTGTTTATACAGCTTCAAATGGCATATTTTTTTGGTCGAGCCCACGGCTCACGGCTCGGCTCAGGAGATCCCACGTTAAACCGGCCTTGTGCCACATGATGCCCTCGTGGGGGGTGACTAAATACTGTTCAGTCTGAAGTCTGGAGTGAATTCCGTCAGTCTGTCTGTCAGTTAGTCAGTCAGTCAGAGCGAGCGACTCAGTCAGTCGAGTCAGAGGCAGTCCGAAACAGAGTCGCGTTCAGACAATTTCTACTAAACCTGATTGTTCGTACTAACACTTTCTACTTCTCTGTATATTTTCCTGTTTGTAATATATCTGTGTTATTCCATATCCGTGTTCGAGTTTTTCTTCATTGGTTCTACCTTGGACTATCACCGTGGTACAAGGAACCGGACCATAACAATATATATATACATACACACACACACACACACACACACATATATATATATATATATATATATATATATATATATATATATATATATATATATATATATGTATGTATGTATAAACTATTTAATTTATTACTGCATGGTATACAATGTTTCAGAGAGGGATTACCAGAAATTTAAAATTTCCCAGCAAAATTAACTAGGCAAAAAGTGCCAAACCTTTCAGGAAACATTACATATTAATGGGTAAATTATTATTATTAATATTTTCATTGATTTCTGGTTTATACTCATTTCTTTCTGGGTCCCAACCAGAGACCTAAGGTCAGCGATGGCATCATGACATTTTCCTCTGAGCATTTTTTTGAGGAAAAATAAATCCTAAGGTAACACATATTTTATATAGATAAAGCCCTTCGTAAGATGTGGGTTGTACTTTTGAGTACAATTTGTTTGTATTTAAGGAATGATCTGCCAGGGACCTCTTCCCTGAT